AGAACACACTGAAAATGTTTAATATAGGGTTTGGCACCCACTTGGTAAATACAATGACAACAATAATAATTAGTATAATTATTGTCGTTGTTGTTAAGTACCTTGGAGTTGGTTCTGACTCATAGTGACCCTGCACAGGGTTTCCGAGGCTGCAAATATTTACGGGAACAGAAAGCCTCATCTTTCTCCCACGGAACAGTTGGCAGTTTCGAACTACCTACCTTGAGGTTAGCAGCCCGATTCGTAACCACTATGCTATTTCTCCCTTAATTTCATGAAGGAGTCCTGGTGTGCCGCTATAGGGATAAAGCACTGGACCGCAAAGTCGATGTGAACCACAAGGTCGGTACTTCACTCACCAGCCGCTCTTTGGAAACCCTACACAGATAGGGTTGCTATGAGTCAGAACCAACTTGACAACACTTAACAACAACAATCTCATTAAGTATCATCCCATTCATTCTCAAGAATTCCAACACTGTAGATTGTAATACTCCTCCCTCTTCAAGGAAGGGAGATTCCCTCCTTTATGAAGCTACTGGTCCAACAGCATGGAGCAGTCCACAGGTAGAGGAGGTTAGTTAAGCCCCTTCCCTGCCTCTCTACCCCAGATGGCAGGCTGCAAGAAGTCTGTGACGTGAAATTCAGCCTTTGCAGTACCATCCTTAGACAGAAGGGAGTAGCAGAGGGTCAGGAACAGTACTTGAGTTGAGTAGAAAGGCTGGGAAGACAGTCAGAACTGTGTGTAAGTGAGTGGAAAAGGGTGACGGTGTTCGGTGGTGAACATCTGTAGGCAGGAATTGTATGTGCCTTCCTCTTTACAGCAAGGTTCTTATCTTCTCAGTGAGGTCCATGAGACTATTATCCTTCAGTGAGATCCCGATCCCCACAATAGGGCCTGTCCCCCTAAAAGAAATTTGTGTCCCCTTAGTGGAGTCCATTTCAAAAGTGAAGTTAAAGGTCTCTCAATAGGGTTTGGGTCCTGTTAATGGTGTTTATGTTTTCTTAGTGAAGTACCTATGAATCCTTTATATCTTCTAGGGAGAGTTCATGTCCCTTCAGTGGGGTCAGTACCTCTTAATGCACATGAATGGCTCTGTCAGCAGGTTATACAGAACTTCAGTGGGATCTGAGACCCCCTCAGAAAGATTTGTCCTGTTATAGTGAGATTTGTATACCCTCAGTGAAGTTTGTGCCCCTTCAGTGAGATTCATGTCTCCTTGATTAGGTTTCTGACCCCACAGTGGGGTCCATATCCAGTCTGTGAGATCTGGATCCCTGAGACCCTTCAGTGGGCCCTGAGACAACTCCCCTGCCTCAGGATTAAGTAGAGGAGATTGTTTTTCAGCTTTGAGTATACTGGGTGAAAGACAGAGACACCAGTGGGACTGGGCTGGATGGAGTTACAAACCCATTGCAGGCTTTAGGAGGTGGATCAGGATCAGTCTTGGAGTTAGATATACTTAAGGTTTCCTCCTGCCTTGACAGCCAGTTTGTGGATGGAGTGGGGCCTTCTTGATGTTACATAAGCACAAGTGGGATATGGAGGATCCTACCTGCTGTCACCTTCTTTCTGTAGGACGTCCCTTGTTGTTCTATATGAACAAGCAGGTATGTTGTCATGATGGGGGGAGGCGGGGAGAGAGAAATTCCTCAGTGCAACTTTCCTGGCCTTTTTATCACCAATGCAGTTTTCAATTTCCTTTAAAATTTCTTCATAATAAACCTCTGTGATTATCCTGTGTCCTGGAGAATGTATATCAGTATTAGATTTTTTTTTTTCCAGGAGGGAATAGAGGGAAGCCAGAGATAACTGAGCCCAGGTTTTAGCAGATAGTGTGGGCCTTGGTGAAATAAAGAAATTATAAAGAAGTAGGAAATGTGAATGATTCTTCCTGTTAACATTGTTGTTGTCATAGGTACCATCGAATCAGTACCGACTCATAGTGACCTTATGCACAGCAGAACAAAACACTGCCCAATCCTGGGTCATCCTCACTACTTGATGGACTCAAGTCTATTGATGTTGCCATTTGGCCAATCCATCTCATTGGGGGTCTTCCTCTTTTTCTCTGACCCTCCGCCTTACCAAACATGATACTCTTCTCCAGTGACTGGTCCCTCCTGACAATATGTCTGAAGTATGAGAGACTAAGTTTGGCCATCTTGGCCTCCAAGGAGCATAGCTTGTCACGATCCACACAATCGAAAGCCTTTGTGCAGTCAATAAAGCACAGGTAAACATCTTTCTGATATTCTCTGCTTTCAGCCAAGATCCATTGGACATCAGCAATGATATCCTTTGTTCCACGGTCTCTTCTGAATCTGGCTAGAACCTCTGGAAGTTCTCTGTTAATGTATGATTGCAGCTGTTTCCAATGATTTCCGCATTCCTTTGGGTCACCTCTCTTTGGAATGGGCACAAATATGGATCTCTTCCAATCAGTAGGCCAGATTGTTGTCTTCCAAATTTTTTGGCAGAGCTGAGTGAGTGCCTCCTGTGCTGCCTCACTTTCTTGAAAGATTTCAATGTTGATTCCATCAATTCCTGGTACCTTGTTCTTTGGTAATTCTTTCAATGCACCTTGGACTTCCTCCTTCAGTATCATTGGCTCTTGATCATATGCTACCTCTTGAAATGGTTGAACATTAACCATTTCCTTTTGGTACAGTGATTCTGTGTATTCTTTCATCTTCTCTTCATGCTTTCTGCATCATTCAACAATTTGCACAGGGACTCTTTCAATAACGAAAATCTAGGCTTGAATTTTTTCTTCAGTTCCCTAGCTTGAGAATGTTGAGCATGTTCTTCCTTTTTGGTTTTCTGATTCCAGATCTTTGTACATTTTGTTTAAATATTTGGCTTCATCTTCTCGAGCTGATCTTTGAAATTTTCTGTTCAGTTCTTGGACCTCCTCATTTCTTCCATTTGCTTTAGCATCTCTACGCTGGAGAGCAAGTTTCAGTGTCTCTTCTGACATCCATTTTGACTTTTTCCTTCTTTCTTGTCTTTTTAATGACCTTTTATTTTCTTCATGTATGATGTTCTTGATGTCATCTCACAATTCTTCTGGTCTTTGGTCTTTAGTGTTTAATATATCAAATCTGTTCTTCAGATGATTTCTAAATTCAGATGTGATATATTCAAGGTCATATTTTGGCTCTTGTGGACTTGTTTTCATTTTCTTCAGCTTCAATTTGAAATTGCATATGGTCAATTGATGGTCTGTTCCACCGTCTGCCCCTGGCCTTGTTTTCACTGATGATATGGAGCTTTTCTATCATCTCTTTTCGCAGATATAGTCAATTTGATTTCTATGTATTCCGTCTGGTTAGGTCCGTGTGTATAGTCATCTCTTATGCTGTCTAAAGAAGGTATTTGAAATGAATAAATCATTGGTTTTGAAGAATTCTATCATGCGTTCTCCAGCATCATTTCTATCACCAAGGCCATATTTTCCAATTACTGATCCTTCCTTTTTTTCCTCAACCTTTGCATTCCAATCACCACTAATGGTCAAAACATAATACATCTTGATTGCAGTTTGATTGATTTCAGATTGAAGAAGTTGGTTGTTGTTGTTGTTAAGTGACGTAGAGTTGGTTCCCACCGATAGCGACCCTGTATAGGGTTTCCGGGGCTGTAAATCTTTATGGGAGCAGAAAGCCTCATCTTTTTCCCCGCGGAGCGTCTGGTAGTTTCAAACTGCTGTTATTGAGGTTCGCAGGCTGATTCGTAACCACTACGCTACCAGAGCTCCTATACCAGAAGAAGTTGATAGAATTCTTCTATTTCATCCTCACTGGCTTTAGTGGTTGTTGCGTATATTTGAATAATAGTGGTATTAACTGGGTTTCCCTGTAGGTGCGTGAATATTATCCTATCACAGACAGCGTTGTACCTCATGGCTGATCTGGATATGTTCTTTTTGACGATGAATGCAACACCATTCCTCTTCAATATGTCATTCCCAGCATAGTAAACCTTGTGGTTGTCAGATTCAAAATGGCCTATTTACATAGCTTTAGTATTATACAACCTTTAACTTTAGACTGATGGAGCAATAGAAACAGACTTGTTGGAGTCAGAGGATGTAATCTGGCCTCAACTTGGTAGTTACTTGTTCTATGATCTTACGCAATTTCCTTCTTTTCTCAGGGTTTACCATTTGTGTGTTTATTAGCAAAGACCTGAAGGGCCTTCTAGTCTTCACTTAATGAGCTGTGTATGGAATCATGGTGTAGCTGTAGGATAAGCACTGGACTGTTAACCACAAGGTCGGAAGTTCAAACCCACCAGTAACTCCTCAGAAACTTTATACAGAATTGCTATAATCAGATGGCAGTTAACAACATGCTGGATGGAGATTTGTGGGACGTGAAGGTGTGTCTCTAGGGTTAGGAGAAAATTTGAGCTGGCCCCAGAATCAGCAAGCGGTTCTGTTCCCTTCCCTTCTCTGTCAGCAGAGGACTGTGCCCTCAAGGTGCACTGTAAGGCGTTCTCCTGAGGACAGTGCGGTGTGTGTGTGTGTGGGCGGCTGGTGGTGAAAGAGGGTTATGCTGTCAGTCGGGGAATAGTACCCACTGGGCAGAGTATAGCGGGAATAGACCCTCCTCCACTTGGCTTTCCAACTCTGTGAGGTGACTGACTTGTGTAATTAGAGCATAGGTCTGTGAGCATGCCTAGCAGAACTCGGATTAGCCCAGCCATTTCCCGCAGGAGCCCCACCCTTCCCTAGCCCAACCCCTCATCTGTCACTCCAAGACCCCACCTCATTCTGTTCAGTCCATGGGCCCGCCTCCTCCCCTGTGAAGCCTAGTTCCAACCCTCCTCTTTCAATAATTGCTTCACTCATACCCGGCCCCGCCTCTTCCGGCAAGTAAACACATTTCTTAGCTTTTTTCTCTCTTTGCAGAGAATGGGCCCGCCTTGACCAGGCAGTCTCCGCCCCTCCTAGCCGCGCTTGCTGGTCCTTTTATGTAGAAGCCCCGCCTTCATCCACCAGGTCCTGCCCCTTCTTTTAAAAGCCCCGCCTCTAGGCAGGCCTGTTTTCCCTGCCCGGGCGCTGGCGGCGACCGCAAAGGCGGCCAAGGTGCTCTGAACTTGACGCGATGGGGCTTCCTGAGGAGCGGGGCCGGAATGGCAGCGAGAGCCACGTCCGGGAGGAGGCTGGAGCGGGGAGCCGGACACAGAGTTTGTCTCCACCGCCGGAGATCAGACGTTCGGCTCACGTTTCCTCGATACAGCGCTATCGCGAGTTGCACCGGCGATCTGTGGAGGAGCCACGGGGTGAGGCCGGGTTTGGAAGGGCCTGGGCGACGTGGGTGAGGAAAAGAATGACAGTTCCCTGAGGAGTACGGAATTGAGGCGTTCCCTGGGAAATTGAGGTTCTGTGAGGAAATGGGGGTTCCATGAGGAGATGGGGGCTCTCTGGGTAGGGTTCTTGGGAAAAGTTGCGAGGTTTGTGAGAAGGGGGGCTCTTCAAGGATATGAGGGTTCGCTGAAAGTTGGAGAGTTTCTTGGTGACTTGGGTGGGGAATTCATGATGGTTTCCGTGAGGAAGTGGGGGCTCTGTGAAGGGGTGTGGGGCTCCTTGAGATGGGAAAGTGGTTTCAGTGAAGACGGTGAAAGTTTCATGAGAAGAGAAGGAGGTTCTGAGGTGAGACGAGGGGTCCTAAGGAGTGAGGAAGTACGTTTTGAGGCTGGAAGGTCAGGAGAAGAACTTTCTTTGCCTTCATTTCACACCCACTCAACCAGTGTCCCCTGAGGCCTTTAACCTGTGAACTAGTCTCCACTGTTGAGGAGCAGGAGCCCAATCTGGTTCTCATCCTGTGCTCCCCCAAGTTAATAATGCGATTCACTCAAGGGCACTTAACAACAAGAGCTAATGTTAAGATTTCAGAAGGCCCACTGGACATTACCCAATGAAACACTGAACAAGTCTCTAAGATCTTAAGTTTTTTGTTTTAGATTTGCACTGAGATGATAGTAACTCACAAAATCTGATAGATGGATCCATGTCTTTAATAAAAATTCCCTACCCTTGCCCTCAGGGTAAATTACTTTCACTTTGTATCAGGGGTTAAAATTGCACCCCAGTTGGGAGGCAGCATGTGTTTGGTAGTGGGACAATCATTGGCTAGGAATCAAACTCAGAAAAATCTAAAATGCCACTCATTTGCTTAAAACCCAAACAACAAGAAAAACCCATTGCTGTCCAGTTGATTCCAATTCCATGTGTAACAGAGTAGTACTGTTTCATAGAATTTTCCTGGCTGTAATCTTTATGAAAAGTAGATTGCCAAGTCTTTCTTTTATGGTGTTGCCGGATTGGGTTGTTGTTGAGTCTCTGGATAGCAAATCATTTGGGCCACACAGAGAATTAAAAAAACAAAACAAAAAACCAACCAGACTTGTTGCCATGGGTTGATTCTGATTTATTGCAACACCATAGATTAGAGTATGCCTGAGCTTCATAGGGTTTTCTTGGCTATAATCTGTACAAAAGCAGATCTTTCTTTCACGGTACCACTGGGAGGGTTTCAATCACCAACCTTTTGGTTCGTAGATGAATACTCCACCCAGGGACCTTGCTGCTACTGTTACATGCTTTTGAGTCAGTTCCAACGCATAACCCTGCTGTGGCACTGTAGAATAAACACTTGACCACA